ACAAACAGTCCAAATATTTAAGAAAACCTTCCATCCAATTTGATGGATTTAAAAAAAAAAAAATCTTCTGGCTGTTGAGATGCACTGAAAGGATAACATGGCACCATCACTACCCCGAATGAGGCTGAAACACACACTGGCAGAAAGGCTCTTCCCTTCTCTACTGTCCAGCTGAGCTCCGACTAGAACCTGTCACGCTAGACCATTCTCCACTATTTGTTACAGGAGTGAAACCCACCATGAGTCAGTCAATATTTCCCACAGAATGTTATCTTCCCTTCTCAGAAAGCCCATTGTTAGATCTCAGACAACTTCCCCTCAGGACTAGTTATGCCACAGACTAGACCATACTCAAAACCACCATTAGCCTCCACCAACCCATTAAAGTTGCGTGTGATGTGCAACGTTCCAAGTAGAAACAGGACTGAGCTGGAACTGCACATCCAGGAGTTTTGGGAGATGCAAGGTTGGATTTGAATCCGCAGCTCTATACCCACCCTTCTAATTCTGGATCTAGGTTGATTCCAAAGAGCAAAAGGGCCTTTTGTTCTCAAGGATCTTGTAATCCAAGATGATGGAGTTCTCCTGAGGAGATTGCTGAACTCCAGCCTTCAAGCTTCACCTGACTCAGATCCAAGCACCTATCTTCTCAGTCCATCTCTAGCTCAAACACTGAGGGTATGTCTACACTACCCCACTAGTTCGAACTAGCGGGGTAATGTAGGCATATCGCACTTGCAAATGAAGCCTGGGATTTGAATTTCCCGGGCTTCATTTGCAAGTGCGATATGCCTACATTCCCCTCCTAGTTCGAACTAGGAGGGGAATGTAGGCATATCGCACTTGCAAATGAAGCCTGGGATTTGAATTTCCCGGGCTTCATTTGCAAGTGCGATATGCCTACATTCCCCTCCTAGTTCGAACTAGGAGGGTAGTGTAGACATACCCTGAGACACATTTCTTATCCACACCCAAAGGGCTTTATTTTAAGTTTTGAAGAGATTTGCTCTCATGCCATTAAATAGCCCCATGTCCCTTTCCTCATCTTAGGCCTGGTACTTTACTCCCTGGCTCTGAGGTTTATTATTTTATTTTTATGTTACAAAGATGGGCTGGAGTCATGGGAATGGCATAATCATGGTGCATCAGTTTAGTTAATCTTAGAATACCTGCTTCGATACAGCAGCCCATCCTTAATTCTGACCAGCTGAAATGCCAAACTAGTTCAGCAAATGCTTTCCAGCCAGAATTAGAAATTAGAAGCTCCATTTTAGCAGAGTGAGGAAACATTTATAAGTTAGCTTGTGAGCGTCTCAATTCAGTGAAATATCGTTTATAGTTCCACAAAACACAACTGCCCACGTAAGAGTGCTGGGTTCTGAAAGTTGTTTCCAGGGCTTGAGGGTGAAGAGAACCAGAAATATTAAGGAGCACACTTCACTGTTTAAAGAACTTGTGCAGTTTGCTGAAGTAGGTTTTCCAGTACTCAGAACATTATTCTATTTACTCTAACAAGGATCCTGTTTAAGGTTGTGTTTTAATAGGTCTTTGAGGCCAGCAGGAAATATGCTACTGGGAAGGTAAAGGGGAGAAAAATAAGAGAAAGGGGAAGGGAACAGAGCTGTGAGAAGATAAGAGCAGAGCACCGGGCATCAGTGAGCTTTTAAAGCACTAATCTACACAGTGGTCGGATCCATGCAGGATCAACCAGTTTTTATTAGATCTGCACAAGAGGATCACTCCAGGTAGCCAATGAGCAGATGGTGGAGATTAGCTGAGGGCCAAGCACTGGAGAGCAGAGAGAAATATTTTCTATCTAATACAATCTCTGGTGCAATGATAGGTCTCTGGAAAGACCTATGTTAAGTCCTAGAGACTTGATACTAGCGTCAGAATCTTAGCATATATAACAGTGCATAATAAGACTGGATACACACCCAGGAGGCATAGATAATGGGACAGAGCTCACAGATTCTAATGTTTTGTTTTTCATTTAGTAGATGCAATTGGAAAGAACACTGTGTGATTCCTTAAGAATATTCATATTTTTAATAGGTTTGAAACACTCCCAATTGTGTGGTTGAGGAAACTAAAAGCCACTCTTTGCAAGATAATTAAATGTCTGTGCCTATCAAAATGGGAATTGGGCCCAAAATGCAATACTACGGCTAAGATTTTGTCCCAAAAAAATTATGCATAATTCATGGCACAATCACAGGAAAAAAATGATTATTTCATCCAATGTTCCCTCTAATCTCTTCCATCAATGTGTGGAATAAATTTATGTGCACCGAGGCAGGTGCAAGTGTGCACCACCAGTAGAAACAAAAAACCTAGCTGTGGGTGCTCTGCTAATCAGCTGGGCAACATTTGCATCTCTTCTAAGGAGCCACATGAGCACACAGCTCACAGGCTATGTCTAGACTGCAGGCTTCTTTCGAAAGAGGCTCTTTCGAAAGCATCTTTCGAAAGAGCCTCTTTCGAAAGATCGCGTCTAGACTGCAGGCGGATCTTTCGAAAGAGAAATCCGCTTTTTCGAAAGAGAGCACCCAGCGAGTCTGGATGCTCTCTTTCGAAGACGGCCTATTTACATTGAAGAACGCCTTCTTTCGAAAGAGGAACTTTCGAAAGAAGGCGTTCTTCCTCGTGAAACGAGGTTTACCGCCATCGAAAGAAAAGCCGCGTTCTTTCGAAATAATTTCGAAAGAACGCGGCTTGAGTCTGGACGCAGGAGAACCCGAGTCTGGACACGGCCACAGGGAACACTGATTTCACCCTATGGTCACAGCAACTTTGGGGCCTTTGCTGCTGCATATAAGCAGTTTGTTTTGATCTAGTCCTCTTTGAAACAGGTCCAGACCAAAGCTAACGAACTGTTAATTCATGGCAGCAAGGTCCATATAAATGGCAACATTCACAGTTCTGTACCAGTGATGATTATTGGGACAGATGGTAATCTCATATTGGTGAGAATTTGCTACAAAGCATTTGATTTCATTGCAGTTACTCCAGAGTCAGAGAAGTATCTAAACTCTTGGCACCACTTAGATAGCAGTCACTGGTTAAGCGCAATTCAATCAAGGTACATATTCTGCAGTTTCTCTTATTGGTGGTAGCCATGCAGATGCATTCAGTGTCATTTTACTGAAGATCAGTCACTTTCATTGATTTTGGGGATGCAATAGAGAGTTGGCTAAAGCTGTATGTTTGTATTACTGCTTGTTTTAATAGGTTGTCTTTCTTACTACAAATACAGAAGGCGAAATAATCACTGTTAATTTGTACATTCTCAACCAGGGAACTAACAGACCACAAGGTTTGGTAGAATACATTTAAGACTAATTATAGGTAATTGCACAGTATTTAAAGTCTGATTAAGTATATTATAGCCTAAGTAAAGGCTTCCTTTCTTCTGTAAGATATATACATTTTTATCATACCTTTATTTCACAGCCTTTGCAAAAGACAACCAGCTGCTGCAGAATTATTTAAGTTGTATCCTTAAAAAGGAAACTTCTTTATTCTTGGCTGGCTTTGCTGTAAAAAATTCTTCATGTTGACATAATTCTTGCATATATAGTTCATATACACACATCATTAGGCAGCTAAAGAGAAGGGGCTCTGATGGTCTGAAAAGTTGTATCATAAGCAGGGCAACTAGAAAACTAATAGGCTTTGGAATGTTGAGTTACTAATTACAGGACCACCGTTTGCTTTTAAGACATTGGGGAATATTGACCAGGGAGGAAGTTGATACTTGATCAAAGGGGCCAGACTAGATTACATTTTAACTAATTTCTGATTATGGAGAAAATCAGAATTAATTTTGGAGAAAAGCTGGCCTCCCTACTTAAAGTGCATTCAAGTCTGAAAAGTCTCTCGCTAAAAATAAGCATATTGCATTCCCTATTCCTTCCCCATTACCTCTAAATCTACATATTTTTCTTTTAACCACCAGAACAGTAAACTCCTCCCAGGACCTAAAACTGAAGTTTTTGTGTTCTTCGGCATTTTATATCAGCACATGTGGCAGTCCACGTTTAGTTGACTATTGCACCAACAACGTGCAAGACATTCGACTCCAACTTGCTCCGCCCTAGCTGTATGGAGTTTTCAGGGCCAACATGAGTAAACACTTCCTGGACATTAAGGTTGGGATTTGCAAGCAAACCTGAATTTCAGGGGAAGATGGGCCCTTCACTCCCTTAGGCTATGATTTTACAAGGAGCCTAAAAACAGCTGGGTGACTTGATCGTCCGTAGGGCCAAATCCTGCTCACACTACATAAACAATACTGTGTCTAGGAACAAGGTTTGGCCCTTACTATGCCAAAAAATAGATGTGTTGAAAAACACTACACCAATTTTACAATCACTTTTCCCACCTGAACATTTGAATAATATAGGACTTGGAGTGTGGAACTCAGACCAGAGCTTTCGGAATGTACCAAAGTTTCATACTAAATGGAAGGTCCGCTACAATTCAAACAGAGCAAATTCCCCACACTTCCTTGGGGCCCTCGCTGTACAGTGACACACCAATACTGTCTTCCTCACAATACATCAAAGATTAAATGATTACAACACCCTTAGTTAAGAGAACCCATTGTTTCTGAAGCTCGGAGGGAGGATACGGACAAGGGGAGCCCTCCTGGCTTCAAGGAATTTAAGTGCTAAATCAGCTAGTAACCTGCTACAATAAAAAGGAGAATTCCTGGGATTGGATGAACTGGTACCAGTTGTCTCTAGAGGAAGCCATTAATAACCGCACATTAGCAACTGGAAGTATTAGCCAGTGAAACTCCCACGTTGTCAGCGATCTAAAGTTTTGTTCTTGACATTTGGTGAGCTTGTTGGTTTTTGTTTTGTTGATGTTATAACATACATCTATCACCACAGTAATTTAAAAGTCACCACCGTACACTACTTCACGGGGGAACACAAGCACATGGTTACTACTGCACAGTACAAGTGTCCTGCAGGTCAACTCACAGCTTCTTCAAAATGAGAAAAAAAAAAAAAAGAAACAGAAAAAAACCAAAAAAGACCCTGTTCTAGAGTAGAGGGAAAAATCAAGTATCTTACACTCCCCTTGCTGAAATGGTTACACAGACCTGGCTCAGCAGTATTCTCCCTCACCATCCCCAACCTCCCACCTCAGGACAGAGTCTTCTGTTCACATCTCATTGGAATAGGTGTAGTTAGGGGTGGCAGAATACTGTGTTTCGTGCTGCAGCACGGCTCCCTGTGCAGCACCGACTGCCGCGTTGTGCGCTGCCTGTTGTACTTGTGGATTCTTCCACGCTCCTGTAGTCCACTCCTCCTGTGCTTTGCTGAAACTCCCTCCGCTGCCCCGGTAAAATTTATGCACCTGTGTGGGGCAAAGGCAGAGAGAAAGGAGATCACTGAGGTGAGTCCCCGACTCTTTTTATTATTATTATAATTATTTGGATAACCTGAGAGACCCTAGTGCAAAGTGTCCAATCCTGAGAGCACTTGTAGCTCCCATTGACTTCATGGGCAGGGGCAGGGACTTAACCCCGCAGGATCGGGACTGAAACCGACAGATGCTAGAACAGCAGCCCTAGAAACCAGCCTGCTCCATTCAACAGCCCTGGCATTGAAACTCTTCTGACCACAGTGGCTCAACTGTGACCTAATGGGACCACCCTGCAAGGTGAAAGCTGCTCATTCTCTACCTCGAGTTAGTGTCTGCTCTATACCTAGACTATGGACAAGAGAGGCAAATTAACCTATTGGGATGGTCGTTTGTGATGTGGGCGACAGTTTGCTGCAAACCATAGTGAGACAATCAACTCACTGCACATACGCCACCAACCCATCACCTAAAGGTAACTACTTTTGGTCACTAACAATCCAGTCCAGAGGGGAGCAGACAACCTACTCTATACAAGTCTTCCCCAGAGTCATTCATTCCCCTCTTTATCCCTATTCCTAAGGCAAGAAATGGGAGAGAAGGAAAGCTGCACTATATCAAACACCTTTTACAAACATCTACCTCATTTTCTAACTTCAAGAGCCTTCGCCAGGCTTGCTAACCCACAAGAAGGTCAATCAGTACTTTGGGCAATTAGAGAAGTCACAATGAAGACTGAGCATTCCACACACCAAACCACAAAAAAAAGCAAAGGCTTTAAAGGTTTCATTCCTAGCTCGAAACCATGATCACCACCATCAAGAAACCAATTACAGGGCAACATACCTCTGTGAGCAAGAGCTAAGCCCAGGAACAGGAGAATATGAAAATTTGGTGCTTTAGTGACGATTCTGCTGAACTTTTAAAAAAATCTAAACATTTCTTACTATAAGGAAGAATTTCCCTGAGAGGCCCAAGCTACATCAGCAATCAACATTCTTCTTTAAGTCACTCTCTCTCAGGTTTTAGGACAAGCTCAGCAATAAGAGTACTCTCTGTTTTTTAAAACTTAGCAGCCTGAACCTGCATCTTGCCAGAGCCTAAGGGAACTCAAACTTCCAGGATCAAGTCCTGAGGAGATAACATGATCTTGGTAAATTGACCATTCGTTATCAGTGGTAAATAGGTCAATGAAGGGATAATAGGAGATACTATAGAGAACTTTCTGGGTGTCTGGCTGGTGAGTCTTGACCACATGCTCAGGGTTTAGCTGATCGCCATATTGGGGTCGGGAAGGAATTTTCCTCCAGGGTAGATTGGCAGAGGCCCTGGAGGTTTTTCGCCTTCCTCTGTAGCATGGGGCACAGGTCACAGCTGGAGGATTCTCTGCATCTTGGGGTCTTCAAACTATTTGAAGGCTTCAGTATCTGAGATATAGGTGAGAGGATTATTCTAGGAGGAGGTGGGTGAGATTTTGTGGCCTGCATTGTGCAGGGGGTCAGACTAGATGATCATAATGGTCCCTTCTGACCTTAAAGTCTATGAGTCTAAGTCCTGTCCTAGATCTGACAGCACTTGATTTGGAGATGTCCTAAGTTTGGCAAAAACTGTTGTTTCAGTCCCAAACACAACACCGGCTCCAGACATTGTGAACAAAGGGCTGCCCCTAACAGAGGAAAGGAGGGGAGGTACTCAGGTGAGCAGCTCTCTAGAAACACCATGGAGTAGTGAACACCCCAGCTGGGATCTGTTGCCCAGATGGCCACCCAGAAAACATCCCAATTTCTGGTGTCTCATCCTGCACCCATACCATACTGAGGGCGATGAAGGAGAAGACTGCCACGACTGTAAACATGATGGTGGGGATAAGCATCACTACAGCTGCACCCACGTTGGTCCCAAAGAAGGATATTGTTGCGATCCAGCCACTGCAGGGAGATGCAAAAGGGCTTTGGTTAAATCAGGGTTACACTGCTGCACCCAGTAGCTATGTTTTTTCCCCACTGGCTTTGTATGCTGCAAGCTGAAAACCGCACTCTAAAATGACGGATCTCCCAAACACTTCGCTATCTTGGATAATTCTAAGCCATTCTTGAAACCAAGTAGTACCCAAAGGCCACCCCAAAGCCTCCTACCTCCTTTCTCTGCCACATCACATCGTTCATTGCCCTTCTCCTCCCACTCCACTAACACACTCCTTCCATACTCCCACTTCTACCCACTCGATGCCCTGAACTAGCTGAGCCCTGGAACTCTGGAATTTTTTTCCTTCTCCATCCTAACAGATGAAAAAAAACCTCTTCTCTGTCAGCTCCCGAAGAAAAGAAAGAAATCTGTCACATCCAGCCTGTATTCCTTACCAGACTCCCCAGCCAGGGATCCCCACTGCCTGGATAATGCTGATCACCAGCTGGGCCATGAAGGTGAAGAAGAACGCCATGAAGCTGAAAGAACTGTCTGTCCTACGAGAGAAACAACTCATTGTCATTCTCCTCCTCACTGCTCTCTGCGCCTCAGCTGGTCCTGCAGCTGTACTCCAGCTCTTATCACCCCGAACACCCAGCATCTCGGCCACCAGAGCAGCTAAATAACGCCTTTGATTCCAGCAGAGACTGTGTGGCCACAGTGGGTGGAGGAGAATGGGAACGGATGGTTAGGGTGAACAAGAGCTGCCCACAAAGAGTCAGGACAGTGACACCACAGCATAAGGAGGGAGAAAGGAAAACGTGAAGGACTCACGCTGTCAATCAGGGTTCCCTGGCAGTTAGTAATGATTTGACAGCAGTTAGATGGTAGGTAAAGTGGGGGGGAGAGGGGCAGCCTTGGAAAGGTGGTAAGAGTTTCATTGTCCGCCACGTGAGCAGTCTGTGCTAAGCTTCCCCACTGCTCTATGGGGATGTCTACACAGGAATAAGAAGCTAGTGGCTGGCCTAAGTCAGCTGACTGGGCTTGCAGGCCCACTGGGCTCAAAAACTGCTGGTTGGACATTTGGGCTCAGGGTGGTGCCAGAGCTCTGGGATCCTGCAAGGGTGGATGGTCCAGAGCCAGAGCCCTACCAGCTACACAGAGATTTTTAACCCCACAGCCCAAGCCCAAATCAACAGACTCAGACCTGCTGCAGCTGTGCTGTGGGTCTTTTATCCCTGTGTGGCCATATTTAGCTACTTACATAGTCCTAGTTACCATTTTATTAGAGCACCTCAGAGTTAGCGGATCTTATCCTTAACACCCCTGCCAGGCAAAGTATCCCCATTTTGCAGTGAGGAAACAAAGTCACGCTCATGTGTGGCTGGGTGGGAATCAAACCCAACCCTGGCCGGGTTGATTTAGTTGGGATTGGTCCTGCCTAGAGCAGGGGGCTGGACTTGATGACCTTCTGAGGTCTCTTCCAGTTCTATGATTCTTCTGTGTCCCTATCCAGCTCCCCTATCTACTGGGCCATTTTTCCTCCTTGCAAGCAGGATGGACAAAAATAAAACTGGTGATTTAAAAATATATATGAAATAATTTGTAATTTAATTTGTATTATGTTATTTAAATTATGATAAGAAGTTATTTTTAAAAATAAACCCATTTAAGATAAAATCTGTTAAGGCATGAAATTAGTATAAGCTCTTAAAACATTTACATAAAAAATAGTTAAGCTGAATCCATGAGCCTGGATCAAAAACTCTGCGTTAAAGGCTGCTTTTCTGAATTAAGAAAGAATCAGGGGGAAATATCTCATTTTTGAGGTTGAGTTTTATAAATATGGCACAACAGGTCATGTGTTGTATAAAGGGCTTGTTTTGTTTTAAAAAAATGTTTATGCTATTCTAAGCGTTAAATTCAATTCCAGTTACTGTCCTAATACAACTTGACACAAATCATGAGCAAAAAGTGAATTATCTGGAAAATATGCAGTATATCATACACCATTTTCTAAGATACTAAAATGTATGATGAATAAAAATTGGAAAATATTAAGCTATATAATTGATTAAATACACATGTACACTCCTAGGTAATAAAAAGATGTACCAAATCTAATGCAAAGGCTTTATTTAGCTAAGTGAACATGCTTTACTGATTACACCAACCAATTAGAATGCACCTCTCTTTAGAAAATGAGCAAAGTACAAATGGAAAAGCTGATTGAAACTGATGATTAAACTCAAGGCTTTTCTACTTGGTGATTTAAAATCACCTTGATTTAATTCAGTCCACCCTGCTCTCGAGTGGAGTACTAATGAAGCATTCAGCAAGCTGCCAGGGACTGGAATAATGGTGAAAATAGGACTGCTCTAACCTGCACGCATAACCAGTACCATATGTGCTATCCACCCCAAAAGGTTTGTAAAAGGAGCCTCTAATGGAAAGAAAATATTCACCACCCAAAATAAGTCAGATCTCAAGCAGAGGCTGCAGGGCACTGAGTTTCTAGAGGCAGGGTCGGTTTAGGACAATGAGAGATCCCACAGAGGTTCCTTGGGGTAAAGGAAGAGTTGGATGCCTACAACTGGTGTAAACTGCCATAGCTCCCTTGAGGAGCTGCGCAGCTTTACACCAGCTAAGGATCTGCCTTGGGGTTCTTGAGAATGAATCGGAGCTTCTAGAGCCAGAATCTGTAAGCACTTCAGCTTCCAATGCCTTTTCCCTCATGCTTGTGCATCATGGCTCAGTGAGACCTGCAGGTCAAAGCATGAACTTTAGCAAGATACACAAGCATGTTCCTAAATTCTGCTAACTTCACTGGGCCAAATTCTAGTTTTAAAACCAACTGGGTGCTTACGTATATTGCTAAATCAGAGCCAGGCGCAGGGGCTGTGAGCTGCTCTCCCTCCCCTGTCTCTCAGGACTGAAGAACCCTTTAGTTACTGACTCAATTCTAGAGCCAGAGAAGCTATAAACCCTAAGATAGTTGGCACCCTGTACTTCTGAGCTGGAATGTGGTGGCTGTGGAGTCAGGAAGAAACATTTGCAACTCATCTAACCATTGACCCATCTTCCCATCTCCAGTTCTAGCATCAGTTTGTCTGATCTCCGAGGCATCTCTCTTCAGGAGCCTCCACGCTCTGCAGCAAAAGCACAGAGTCTGTCAATTTGGGCAGGAACAGAGCTGGAATGTGGCCATGCACTGTACCTGTCACCACGGGACAGAACACAGTATCCATACTCTTCCTGATCTCCCGTGACTCATTATCAAGAACCCCACTCAGAGGGAAAACATGTATTGGATACATTAGTCTTTCTGAAGAGCTGATATCTTAATCCTGAACATCCAATTTCCCAAGGTAGGAGAGGAACGGTGTAAGTAGGAAGGGAAGGGAGAGATTCCCAAATAAAGACGACCCAGTCTAAGCATGGATTATTCATGAGAAGAAAGAGAGTGAGAAGCTGTGCCCAGCTGTGACCACTTACTTGAAGGCTTTGTAAATAGGTCTAAACCAGCAGACATAGGAGCAGGGTGTAAAGAGAATGAGCCAGAGAATTGCCAGTCCAAAATTAACAGCTCCACCGCCTCCAATCAGCCATGCGAGGCAGCCAATCAGATTCACTGCCAAGGTGATGCTGTTCACTGCAAACATATACACACAGACACACAGAGGGAGCAAAGTAGCACACTGCAAGAGAGTAAGCTGTGACTGGAGGGGCCCTTCAGGCGGAGACTTCCATGGGGTTCAGAAACACTCAGGCAGGCCTAATTCAGGAGTGGGGTTTTGTCTGCAGTTTTTATCCCCCTTTTCCCTCTGTAATTTCACCATCCTTCCATGCCCACCAGGCTCCCTCAGGCAATGGTTCCAAGCCAGCTGAAGCAGGCTGGCGTCAATGAGTCATGGCCCAATGGGACTCCCCGCAGACATCACCCGCTCCAGGAGGTGAGAATCAGGGTGTGGCAGAAAGACACAAGCGCCTCCAAGTTGAGTAACTGAAACACAATTTCTCTCTTGCCACCAAAGGGTGGAAGAGAGAGAATTAAAGGGAACATCTCCCTTGCCACCAGCAATGGCTTCACTGTCAGGAGCGCGTTCCCGGGCGAGTTAGACCAGGCAGCCCAGCTGCCTTTCCCATGACAAACTCGACACCAACTGATCAATTCGGAGCGTAAAAGTGACAGGTTC